CTCGACCGCCGCCTCAGGGACCTCACGTGGAGCTTTGTTTGCCCCCAGAGATCTTGCACAAATACCTGAGGGCTCTCGCATGGATGTTTTATGGTAGTCTACCGAATAAAAAAACTTTGTATAGTTGACTTTTAGATTCTTCGTTGAAGCTCAAGCGATCTCTGACTCCACTATTTTTTCCTCTCTCTTTTGTGCTAGCGTGGTAGATACAAAGTTAGTATGTGTGCTACGTTCAGAACTCCTTACTGGTAGGGAAGTGTGTCCTATGATAAAGAATTGTCAGCCCTCCTCTTTAAGACCCGTCACCAGCAGAAACCCTGCCAACCCCAGAGAAACTTCAACTTCAGTTTTTTGTTACACACTTTTTAATTTTCATGTTAAGTATGGGATAATGCGACAAGTTGTGGCTTATTTATGAGCTGTAGAAAAACCCTATATCCCAAACCTTACTATTTTCAGCAGTATCGCAATGTATATCTATAAAGCTGCAGATTACTGCAAACAATTTTACCCAACCTTTTGTTGTAATAAAGTGCCTTATGATGAACCCTGTATCTCTGTAGGGTTGACATTTAGCAGCATTGTTTAATGACAGGCTGGATTATTTTGAACTGTAAGTAAAAACTTCTATTAGTTAGAATGGAATCTGTGACATTTATTCCCCCGTCCCTGGGGAAGCACCTCAGAGCTTTTCAGTGTTTGGTTTTTTATCTTTGCCTTAAGCAGTGGCTAGTTGGATAGTCTAGAGCTTACTGTTAATAGAACCTTTTGGTCTGAAGGATGGCTGATCTGTAATAAATAGCTGTCCTGACACTCCTGTACCTTAACCAGGCACTGTGGAAAAAAGGAATGCTGAGGTGCAAGGGCAGGCTGCAGGAGAATGTGACTCTGCCATGACTTATTAGCAGGCCTTATTTTTACTTATAGGACTTTGAGAAAGACCCACTGTGGCTTGCTTATCAAAACAACAAAGAAGTTGCAAAAATTATGAAGTATTGACTGTTATGGTGTTACCGATAGAAACAAAGGTGATAGTGAATATAACCATAATCCTGTGTAGTGAAAAATGGGTAGTGGTAATGTCAGGGATTCTTGCACATCTCACCAAAGGCAGTTGTAGCCCTTGAGAGAGCTTGGCCCATGAGTAAGGAACTTCCATTGAATTGAGTTCTAATTGTCCTAAAGAAAATCCATGTGGCAGGATTTTGCTCAGGTGTTTTTAACCCCAACAACCCGAAATGTTGCTGAACAGCTTGGAAAAGGAGTCGTTTTGTTTAGCAGATAATATTTTATTTCAGTAGAACATGCAGCAGTGGAAACAAGATGCTTAATCTTCAGTTTCAAATCAAAAGATAATCCAAAGTTCTGTAAACAGTTGAAGTGTGAGCCACACTTTTTCAAAATTTTACTTCTTATACCGCTAAGAAGTTAAGTGCAAACATTGGAAGTATCTTTTAACTTAATTTTAAATAGTTTCAAATCAATACAAAAAAGAAGCTGTTTTTACCTTTTTGGGCTTCTAGGCCATCAGACTGAATACGGTACTGAAACAAGAAGGAAGTTGTAATAATTCATAATAGAAAACATTCTCTTCATTAAGAATGTGTGAAGGAACTGCCTCTAGGGGATTGATTCAGATGGGATGTTTTTTATTTTACCCTTTTAATTCTGGGAAGTAAAATAATGCTTCAAAAAGTGCTGAATGGCTGTGGTCTTTAAATTACTTTAACTGTAATGCATCCAGTCATGTACAAAGTGATTAAAATGTAGATGTCATGACACCTATTAAGACTGATAATTTTCTATTTGACCATCTCCCTTGTACATAGAGAGACATCTAAAGACTGGTATTTGTTGAAGTCTGCAAGCTGTGGTGAGCTACTTTTGGTAGCCTGTTAAGAAAAGTGAGGAAAAGAGCAGCAGCAAGGTGCTGGGATACTCAGTCCAGTCCTTCCAGAGTAAGAAGGGAGAAACTGCCACAAGTTAAAGCTGGGGGACACTCACTTGGGGAAAAAAAACCAACCAAACAAACCAAACCCCTTATTTTTACTTTTTTCTTCACCACAGTTCTGGTTCTGCCTGAATTAGAATCTTAAAGATCATCTAGTCCCAGCCTCTCCCTGCCATGGGCAGGGACACCTCCCAGTAGACCAGGCTGATCAGGGCCTTGTCCAACCTGGCAACTGCATTAGAACTATCATTACCACTTCACTGTTGCCTTTACATGAGTTACATAGTCTGTAAATTTATAAAAGGAATATAATTTTCACTTGTTTGGCTTTGACAAATATAGTTAACTGACCTCATTATGAAATGTGAATGTTTTTCTTACAGCTATTGCTCCTTAAAGCTTTTAAGAGATGATGCAGCCTAAATAGAGCCAGTCAGAAACTTTGAGAAGAAAATACATTTCTTAATGAGGAAACCTTTAACTCTTAAAAAAATCACCTGTTGAAATGGGAACTTACAAAGAGAAAAAAGAAAATACACACACACACACACACACACACACACACACACACACACACACACACACTTCCCCATAAATAGATGATTTTCAAATCATCTGCTTTCAGGGTGAGATGTTTCAAATGACAATTCATGTTTTTTCCACACTCTTGGCTTGTGGAAGAAAAAAATCCCCAAATATCTGATTTCTCATTCTGATCTAGGATGAACTGTCAAAGAAAACCTGTCAGGTGCTGCTGTGAGATGGTGAAATGCCAGTTCTACCTGCAAACAGACACCCGGCTCCCTCTCCTTCCCGCAGTGGTTCGGGTGAGCCCTGCTGTCACACCTCCCTCATTTTCCTCGTGGCTGTAAAGCAGCAAGCCCACGGATGTGACACTAACCGTGCCGATGTCACCGTGAGGACTCAAGCCGTCATTACGTGTAGGAATTCAGTCTTGTTGACTGTGTAGTCACTGAAGCATCAGAAGAGTCTGTACAAAGCACAGGCTTCGTAACCTTTGGCGTGATTTCATGCATTGGCCACATCTCTACCCAAATGAATGATGGACCGTACGGTTTCTGGCTGCCTTTACCTCTTTTGGATCTTCTCTGTCTGTAGTTGTACCAAACCTGGTGAATCATTTCTTTGAAAGGTCGTGTAGTCAAAGTGTAGAGAAGAGGATTCAGAGCACTATTTATTGGCAGTATGAAAATCACCACCCAAGAAGTTATGGTACCTTAGGGAGGGAAAAAGAGAGGCAGCTGTAATATGCATCCCAGTGTTTGCATTCTTTAGTTAGCATAAGCACTTGATGCCAATGCAGCACAGCTTGCTGGTGAGAGGGGGAGATCATGTGCTCTTAGGCTCAGCTCCTGGCACAACAGGTGCTTTTCTTTTTCTTCTTTCTGTTACACTTGCACTGCTTTTTATCTCCCTCTGTTTTCAGTACTCCCTGCAAAAGCTGACATTTATTATTCTCCCAGTAGTTCCATTTATCCCTCTTTTTTATACCACAGCTCCCTATCTGCCTCTGCCCTGACAGACTTCATGTTCTGGCTCTGAGCCCCTTTTTTTTCCCCAAAACCTTTTGTCTCTTCTTTGCTCCTTATCTCTTCCTGTGATTTCTGTTCCCCATCCTCTTCCCAGGACTGATAACATGCAGTCCTAATCATGCCCCTGATGTTCTGTCCTGCAAAACTATCCTCCATTCCCTGTATCCCCTCAGAGCCTGGTTTTCTCTTCTGCACCAGGACTTCTCCATTCCTCTTCCTGAAAAAGAGCATTGTATACATCTTCCTAATTTATTTCTTTTCCTGTTGGTAAGAGTTTCTGTGTTCACTGTCTGCCTATGTCAGTCTGTGCATCTTTACAACATCTCTTTCTCGTCCTTTAGTGTTTGAGAGCTAAGTTACCTGAGGAGCAGGTGGAGAAGGGACAGGATTAAAGTGCTGGAAGACGTCAGTGGGTGCCCTCCATTGTGGTTGTTTGATTTATAAAATTGTTACAGAACTGTTCCAAGAGGCATGAAAACCTCAATTGACTCTCTCCTTCCCGGACTCCTCTCCATGCCCCTCTCCACTTTTACAACTTTGTTGCAATATCAAGACATTCCTGTTGACACCCATTCACATTGGCTACAGTTTTGGACACAAGCAGGTGCTTAGTTCTAAAACTGTCACATTGTATCACCAACACAAAGCAAATGCTACCAAAGGAGGTTTACAATTTGTGTCAATTTGAACAGCTAGCTGTCACGTCTTTAGTTTCACAAATTGAGTAATTACTCTTTAATCTGGTTCATCTATCACAGGACACCAATTTGCTGCACCCAAGATTACCCTGTGATTCAGCAAGACTTCTTCAAGGTTTCTTGACTTATAATACAGCTGCTTCTAATTTTCACAATATTTTCTTTCAAATATCATAGGTGGTTTGAGAGCTTCTTGTTCTTGAAGAACAATTTTAAAATATTTGAAATAACTGAATATTTAACATAATTAGTGTAACTTCCAGACATTTGAGATGCAAGCCCAAACTTTGAAAAATTCAACTCCCAACCCTCCTGGTCAGCACATAAGGCAAAATCATCTGAGCTAAAACATTTTCTTGCCAATGTAATATTGTGACATACATCTGTATACTGAGTCTGAATCCGCTGTAGCTGATTGTTCTGTTCATGCTCACATGTCCTTTCTAACAGGGTTAACAAGCCCCACACGAAGAGGCTTTTTTCTGGCATCTACTGGTATTGCAAAGAGAAGGAAAAAATTAAAGTGCAATTTTAGTCTTTTAGGTTACACTATTTTTACATGGGAATATATTCACAGCATGAAGAAGATAAGCCGATCATTATATGACTTAATGATTTGAGCTAAAAATACTAGCTTGTAAAATAAAATAATTTTTTCAGAATAAGTTACGTTATTAAATCAAGATAGAAAACACTATATTGTCCTAAGACATTTAGGCAACAGAAACAGCAAAAGTCCTAACATGAGAAAAGCCAATGGAACTCAGCCTTGATTTTCCAATATATTTGTACTCTTTATAGATATTATATGCAGATAGACTTGAGTGATTTGAATTTTGGAGATTTTTATGTAACTCAAAGGTGGCTAATCTTTCATGATTACAGTAATAGAGTTTAATCAAATAGCAAAACTGTATAGTTCATTATATTGTGTGTACATATATATAGATATAGAACATTAAGTTAATTTCAGCAACATAGTTCATTTCATTAAATTATTTTTTCTTGTGAAGTAGAAGGAACATTTCATGCAGGCACTGTTGAAACAGCCTCATAAAAGAAAGGACATACCTGGTATTTCTACTCGAAGTAAAGAAAGGAGTTTCAAAATAAAAATAGGTATCCAACATAGTGCATCAGTAAATACAATGAAGAAAAAACGTTTAGCAAGGATCATCTCTTTTTTAATATGATTCCGAATTTCAGTAGCCATAATAGCTGTCTGGTGAACACTGTAGAACATACTCCCATAGGAAAACACAATGATGATAAAAGCTGCCAAGTTTACACCTGTTTAAAAGTTAAAATTAATTATACCTTAAAAGAATAATTGCAATTCTACATCACCTATTTGCACTCTGGATAATAAAGAAGAATATTTCATCTAAACTGCTAGTCCCATGGAATTAAGTGGCCAGAAAATCTGAGTCTATCCTCATCCTGAAGAGTGAATTTTTGTCTCTACTCAGGTATCAATTTTATTCACTGGTAACTGGCAAAAGATTGCCATCTGATTAAAACTAAATAGTTCTTCTCTAGCCTTACCATTGTTCTACTTCCCTAACATAGTCTATTAATTCAAGAACATAATGATCAATAATTTCTTTCTACTTTCTCATCCCTTCATGCATTTTAAGATAAGTAGGCACACATCTAACACAGTAAAGTATTTATATTGGAAATAGTCTTTAAATGCTTGCTGAAGCATCTAAATCCGAGCAGGTGTGAACATCACAGCTATCTTAATTGTTTGAAAACTTGGTTCCTTTGCAGCTCTAGTAACACATAAAGAAGAAAAGCAACTTACCTAAGAAAATCACAACAGAATAAATCTGACTTCCTGAACTTTCTGATTGTTCTGAGTGAAGAGGAAAACAGACGCCATTTGTGCCATAGTAGTTCCTGAAAAATTCCTTATTGCTCAGTGGGATAAAAGCAACAGCAAACCCGATTATCCAGATAAGAACCAAGATGGAAATTGTCCTGCATTTTCTGGGTTTCAAGCACCTAAAAGGATAAACTATGCAGATGTATTTTTCCAAAGTCAGATAAGTCAACAGTAAGACTGACACCTCTGTAGACAGAATAGCCAGCGATCCAACCAATTGACAGTGGATACTGTCCATCCACAACTGAGCGTGCTTGTTGTATTCTCCACGATATTTAAGATCAAAAGCTCCAATCACAAATAAATATATCCCCATCAGACAGTCAGCACCTGTGGGCATAGTGCTTAACATCATTATTTACACATCTGAATTTCCCATTCTCTCTGTACATGTATCTTGGAAAACAGACACACACATACACACATAAATAAATACATAAGTATCTACTTACAAGTAAGCTACTACATAGATATAGATATAAAATAGATATAAAATCAATATTACATAGATATCAAATCAATATTTCATCTGGAATAGTACTATGAATTACAATTATGTAATAAATTACAATTAAGTAATTATAATTACTTAATGATAGTAATTACTTAGTAATTAAGTAATTATATTATTTTTTCTTTTTTTTGTTTTCCTTTTTATTTGGTCTGACAGTTCATGTTTCATATTTGTTTCCATTTTTTAAAGCTCTGGTAAAATTGTTTTGCAGATAGAAAAATATATAGCTTTATTTATAGCTTTATTTTTGTAATCCTTTTTTATTAGGTCTTATTTCTTTATTTATTTCTATATTAACATTTGGCTTAAGAGATAATTTTCTTTGAGTTTGCCATCTCTGCTAGATTCGAAGTTTATTCTTTCCACATTTTGCTAGTTCAAAACTCATGTGCATATTCTTCTAATACTAGTAAGGGGAGATGACCTGTCAACACAGAACTGAAGACTTCATGGGTATTTTGCTAAAAATTTTGCATAGTATTCAGATTGTTTCATGGGAAAAACAAAGTTTCAAAATCACCAACATGCTGCATTTAGAAATGTTGCAATAATTTTAGACAACATTGACAGCTACCTCTCAAAATGCGTCTAATTGCATTTGTGCAATACTTATTGACTCTCCTGTATTGAGAGACTCAGGACTGTAGTGATTGTATTGCCAAGTACTTAATCCATAAACTTGTCATGCTTTCAGGATTAAAATAAAAAAAAATCACCCCAATTCCTAATATTGGGGAGTTAGGACAAATTAATTTTCTATATTTGCATAAACAACCTTTTGTTTGTGCAAAGAATAGAATATTTGAACGCAGTAATTACATGCAGAAATCACTACTTACTGAGAAATGCATAGTAAAATATAGGGTTTTGGGCATTTGAAATATTGGAATTTTATTTCTTCTTGCTGAAGAAAGTGGGAATTTGACAGAATTCCCATGGCATGAAAATCAAACATGAAACCTTTGGAATGTCCCAGCTGGCAAAGGCAGCATTTAATGAGACCTCTTGGTATATAAACCACAGCATTTTGTGTTTTCATTTGCAGGGCCACAAGAGCAGATTTAATCCAATGCTGGAAATACATTACTATACTATAATAACAAATATCATACACGCTACAAGCAGACTAAAAAGATATTGCAGATATGGAGTACTCACAGCAGAGAGACATGATGGAGATGGCATGCAGCTTGTTCTCTGATCTGATGTAAGGCCTCATGCAGATAACAAAAATGTTCCCAAAGCAGGTAATGGCAGATACAACCCAGACAAACACTCTCTGTATGATGCTGGCTAAAAGATTCTCGAGGGAGGAAATGCCATCAGTGTTGGGCTTGCAGCTGCGCACGTGAGGAGCATACCCACAGTACTGGAACTTCTTAAAATATCTGGTTGTGAGAAACAGATGAGAGATCATTCTAGGTTGGTAGTCAGAATATCAAAATTATCTAATAACTACTCAGAAAACATATTCTGAAAGAAGAAAAGTAAATAAAAAATGGTCAAAATTTGACAACTGCTAGCTAACGTGCTGCTTTTCAAACATCTTTTGAAAAGATGTTTTCAATTATCCAGTATTCCGTAATTGTAAAATTCAGGCCAAAGAAAGCAAACTTTCTAAAATAATCTACTTACATGTGGGAAAGGTTTCTCAAGGGACTGAACATTTTCCTCTGGATGTTTGCAATTTCAATGCCCTCCAAGCTGCTGTAAAAATACATTCTCAGTAAAAGGCCATAGAAACTCAGTGGCAAAACCCCAAATTTTCTGAGCATTGAGTTGTGATTTTATGACAATAAGAAACTAAAGAAGAACTTTACTGCATCTAATCTGTCAACCCTGTAAAACCTGACCAAAAAATCTTTGTAAAATCTGGAGTGGAACAAAAAGGAATTGCAAATAATTTTAATAAACTCACTGTTCTTCCAGATTCATGAAGAAAACTCTTAGTGCTGCACTCAGTCATGAGAATTGATGAATGTCTGATTAATATGTTGCCCTTTCAAAGTGCTATTCTACTGATGTTCTTTCATCATCTCTGGGGAAATAAAAACTTGTTCTAGTAATATTTTTACACATCTCTTCTCTCTTTTGTCCCAGGGACTGCTTTACTAGACAAACATACCAACCCAAGAACTCAGTCTCTTCTTTTTGTCAAAACCAGCAGGTAGCTGGGACACAGAACACAGCATGTAAGAAAAAATGCTGGCTTTTTTGTGACACACAGGTGGGATTCCTTATTTTAAATTTTATACCTATATATATGAAAGCAGTAATATTTTTTCCCCTGCAGTGCTAGATCAATAAAATTTAACTCTGTAAGATGTTCTTTTAGAACTTCAGGTTCTGTATCCTTCCAGTCCCTCCTATTCTCTGGTTAGGTGTGCACCTGATCAAGGGTCTTTAGTTCTCCTTGTGGGGAGCCTTATTTGGATTTATTGTTCAAAGATTTGAATGTAATATTCCTGTGAGTTCTGAATTCATCTGGGCAAAAATAGAGAACTGGTTAGTTGATGTGTGTTGGTGGGTAGTTTTGCTGGCAGATATGAGAAAGCCCCAACATGGAATTGTGCCACTTTTATTTAAGTGCTGCAATGAATCCTAGGGATTGCTTTCCCCAACTATTTCCACTATTTCAAACAGATGAAGAAGGAACTGGTGTCCTATAAACTGCCAAAACACAGTTATCTGTTGATCTATCTCAAGATTTAATAGTTTTATAAACTAAAACAGGATGAAGGCCATGATCACTGATTTGTATGAGTTCTTTGGTGTTAAATAATAGATAAAATGATAAAATCATGCTGTAGCTTGACTGTTAAGGAGGTAATTGGTTATTATTTTCTGTACTCAGCTCTTTATTTTCATAACACTTATATAGATTTAGTATTTTCAGTTCATTAGACTTTTACCAAATTTAGTTGAATTTGGCCAGGGGATTCCAGTCACTGTGAGTAAGCTGGTTTGATCAAAAAAGGTATGTGTAGTGCTGGCTACAGCTCACACGTAATCACATCAGGCCAAACCATAAACTCCTACTGCACTGCTGTCCAAGAAAACATCTGGTTTTTAATCTCCACAACCGTTGCTAGTAGGGTCTGTTGCAATAGGACAAGGGGTAACGGCTTTAAATTAAAAGAGGTCGATTTAGACCAGATTTTAGGAAAAAATTATTTTTGAATAAGTGGTGAAACACTGGAGTGGGTGGCCTAGAAAGGTGGGAGATACCCCATGTCTGGGAACATTCCTGGTCAGGCTGGACAGAGCTCGGAGCAACCTGATCTAGTTGAAGATGTCCCTGCTCATTGCAGGGGAGTTGAACTAGAGAACATTTAAGGGTCACTTCCAGAACAAACTTTTCTATGATTTTGAAGTGATGCCTGACAAGAACCAATGCTGTGCTGCATACCAAGTTGGTTACTTCAGAGCTGAAGTGACCAGTGAAGAGGTACTTGAATCTACTGCAGGATCATTTCAGAGTTGCAAGATTATTGCTGCACTATCTCAGAGTTTTAGGAGGAGCTCTGCTGGCAGAATTCAAGTTAGAGCTATTGTGTTAGTGCACCTGCAAAAATCCCTCTAAACTCTTCAGGGGCAATTTCTTACAAAACTTATTCTGGATCATGTTTGACTGAGGGAGATGTGCAAATCACAAAGAAAATATAGCTAAAATATAAAAACTTGATACTTACAGGGATTTGAGTTTAATTAGAAAATCAAACTGGTCTATTTGTATTTTCTTGATGGGGTTGTAAGAAAGGTTCCTGTAAACACAACAAAAATAACTTTGGCCACATTCCTTACAGCTTGTTCTAAAAATAAAGTCAATCTACTTTTAAATTCTGATATCATGTTAAGTGTTTCCATGAAATTATTAATTTCTAATGATGTAGCTAGCATAGCTCATCTTGTATGGACTAACAAGATCTAGAAAAAGGCAGAATTTGAACATGCTGTCTTTTGGGACATGAAAATGCACATCTTTGACAAAATTATTCTGGACAAAATGCTATATAAAATTGCTTTTGGTGTGTTTTTTATGCAGAGCTTAAATGATGCATACAAACAAATGTACTCTTTTTTGACACATATGACTGAAAGCATCATATCAAATGAAGAATGTACAGTTATGTATAATAATAAACAAGAATCCTTACAGTTGTGAAAGCTCCTTTAGTTCCTTAAATATATATGGAGGAAGTGATTCAATCTTGTTGCTACCCAAATCTCTGCAGAAACACACAGATCACAATAAGTTCTTACTACACACGGTAATTTTACTGAATAGTTTTGCAGTTTCAATATACACAATTTTATTTGTCAAATAGGATATAATTTATTCTATAGGTTATCTGAAATCTGGCCTATAAAAGAATGATGTTAAAACACAGTGGGAAGCTAGAGCTATCAGATCTTGCTTTGTCTCATTAGTTCAGATATACTGTTAGATACATAATTTATTGTTATTTTATTTCCATCGAAAAGAAAGTAAAATACCATTAGTTTGACTTGCAGAAGCTTACAAATTAATTAAACATATTGTTTCATGATGGGAATGTATCCACATGGGCTAAACTGCATTTATTTCTACCTTTCATCTTATTTTCACTGTGCAGAAATCCTAATAAAAGAGGAATAAAGGTCTCAGTCCAAACAAAACTGTCAAACTGGCCTAAAAGACACTGAAGGCACACATGCACCTAGATTGTAATGATAAAAGGATAATTAATATTATTATATTCAGGGAACATAATGTGAGAAAAGCCCCAATATGATTGGTACACATGATGTATTTTATTGATTTTTTCTTTTCTGTTAAATATAGCTTTAAAAAAATAGCCTAAGGAAGGATGCCATCTCCAGAGCATATATGAAATAGAATTTATGATGAATGCTGTTTCTAATATAAATCACAAAACTGTGTGTTTTTATAAAAAAGAGAAGAAATCTACTCACAATTCATCTAACATCTGGAGAGAGGAAAAGCTGTCTTCATTTAGGGAATGGATTTTATTTCGTCTCATCACCCTGAAAGAATAAAACAAACTTATGTTTCTTCTTCTTGGTGTCTATTTAATTTTGAATATAAGATTTTATAAGCTTTAAAAGTTCTCTGTATCTTCAAATATTTGCTCAATTCAGTTAACAAGCTAATCGCATCTAGAAGTTTGCCATTTTATCATTTGGTAAATAACTTTTTTTTTTTTTGCCTATACATGCATGTACTTCTACATATATATAGGTACACATACACACATGTGCATCCATGGAAGGCTGATGCAAATTGCCTGAGGCCAGGAGGAAGATTAAGTGGGCTGAAAGACTTGTGACCTAATCCTGTCTCAGACACAGGTACACGGTTGTGAAATTTTCCTTTCACCCTTATTTCATCTGCCACTGAGCTCAGAAAGCCAAGAACATGGGTACTGGAGAAGAGCTAAGAATTGAAAGTGACACCATGGAGCCTACTGATCTACCAAAAAGTAGAAGGGATTTTTTGAAGATGGTTACCTCATCACTGAAGAAACTTTGGAGAAAATTCTAAAATTGATGAGGCAGTCAACCCACCAGCCAATTAAAATAAGCAACAAGCTATGTATTTTTTCTGTTTGCTAGTTCTCATTATGAGATCTTTGACTTCAATACAAAGGATATAATGAAAATTTCTGTATCTTAGTATCACCAAAGTCTCTTCAGTGAAATCTTGTTATATATTTCAATGCTGAACTTCGCTGTAAAATATAAACAATAGATATTCTGTGCGGTGCTCACTTCAAACCAAATATTTTAATTTAATATCCTCAAGAGACGAATAACCACCATACTCAGGAAACTTTTCTATTAGCTGAAATGAACCACTTGACTGTTCAGCATAAGCACATCTCACTCTGGCTAGCCAGCATATGCAATTACTTACAGTACAGTTAGAGTGCTGCAGGACATGAAAGTGGCATTTTTCACATGGTGGATATGGTTGCCTTCAAGGTCTCTGGGATATAAAAGAACCCCATCAGTCATTGAAAATAAGCTCAGGCACTTATTCTAAGGCAATTGAGGAAAACTACTACCAGAATTTGACTACACAGAAGAGAGTGGGAGGCAGACATGTAACACTTCTGCACACTCAACTGATGACTTCAGGCCATCAGCCCTGCAGTGACCCAGCGGGCACTCTGCAAGATCCAGCTCCCCATAAGAAAAAGTGGTGCGGAACTGCCTTACAAAGACAACAAAATAATATTTTCCCAGTGAAACAAGGTAGACTTACAGCCAGTTTAATCTTGGCATGTATTGGCACAGAGGTTTGTCGGGCAAACGAGCAAGGGAATTATTCATCATCTCTCTAAAAAAAAAACAAACAGAATAGTATAGCTGGTTATATTAGCACAGTGACATCATAGGGAAAATTTACATCTCTTATGCACTTCTGAAAAAAAAACATTTCAATCTTGAATAGTTTTGAAATTTCTTCAATGTTCACATATTTTCTCTGTGGCATTCTGTGCAGCAATATTTTATCCTTAGCTTGCTAAGGTCCAGGTAAAGGAAAGATGTTCACTCCACATCACTGCTATTGAAATGAAATGTAGAAATCCCATACAAACTCAGTCAGAACATGTAACTTCTATGGAGGAAGTGGGATGTGGAGGGAGGTTTCCCTCTGGCATGCAGGGGAAGAGGTTCCCTCATCTTTCAGGCTGGAGAGGGCAGTGGCAGATCACAGACAGGCTCTTGGGGAGGGGGGTCGGGCTGCCACCAGGGGCAGGGACTGTGGGATTCCTCCTGTCCCACCATGGCTCTGGAGGACACCTGGAGCCCAGTGCTGCAGCTGCCTCGGCCCTGCCCTCAGTGACACCTTTTATCACTTTCCTCACCCTTCTCCCTATACTTTTCCAGACATTCCATGTCCCCTGCTGCCAAAATCCTCCCACTCTAGCACATTTTGCCTGGGGTAAGGGAAAGCTGCAGGTGTACTGCTGGCACTCCGGGGTGAGCAAACACAGTTGTTTATATGCATATGCCTTTCCTCTTCATTTTTTTTTAAACAGCGCCTTTTTTCTCTTGTTTCATACTTACAGAAGAATAAGGGATTTGAGTCCATAGAATGTTAATGGATAGATCCGATTTATCCTGTTGTTTTCAATTATCCTATAAATTACAGCAAAACATGTATCAGATTGATAATTGACTGCAGTCTTAAATTGAAGAGATAATAAAAGTTAGCATGCTTTGTAGTGAATTTCTTCAAAAGTCCAGTCAAACTACTTATAAAAATGAACACACTCTTCCTTGATGGTTTAAGATATTAATTTCCTTTCAGAAAAAATTAATAAAAAAAAGTAACTTAGGGAAAATAATTTCTTTCAACTTAGAAAAAAGTGTTTTCTTTTGAGCCTTTTAAATCCTTTGATCAAGACAATTTGATAGGATTCTCTGTAAAAACAAAGCAGCCCAACTTAACATTATTCTGTGGCAATCCAACAGTCCCAAACAGGCAGGAGAATGTAAGACAGTATTTGCTTATTTTTAATAACTTATTCAAAATCTCTCCGAAAAGCAGTAATGAGCCAATATTTCAGGTTATGAGAGTAATTTTGTCTGGACATTTTAAGCAGTATTTACAGGAAAAGACCTGCCCAAAAAATATCTGTCTACTGCTTTATAGTACCTAGGTTACTTACTATATTCTTTTGTAACGAGCAATTACTAATAAACATTTTTTGCCATTGTTGAAAGTTATCAGTCATTGAAGTCATTAAGGCTCAAGAGCTATTTTCTGCTCTCACCAAAGCCAATTGCATTTTTACCTTGCACAGTGTAACAGGAGTTCCTTAGTTATTAGCTAGTCCAAAGTAATGCTATGCACAAAAATGAAAGCAATCAAAATATTTAATTATATATAAAAATTAATTAATTATTGAGTAAATAAATATACAAATAGAAAAACAACATACAGCCATTCAAGTCTGTGGAGGTCTGCAAAGACAAAAGGCTCCAAATTCGTTATCTTGTTGTTGCTCAGATATCTAAAACAAGACCAACCAAAGATGAATGAATGGAATGATTATTTAGCAGCAAACACATGAAAATGAGTTTTAAGATTATTTTTCCTTGATAATTTGCCAGAATACTCCTCTTTTGTTAATATATTTTTTTTTAACTTTGGTGATTTTCATGCCATTGTTTGAGAGCAAGGCAGGACTCTTTCTAGTGAGGATTTTAAGACCAATTATGTACAGCACTTTGTCTTATCTATAAGAAAGTACAGCCAGCTAAATATTTTCACTGTGTCATATTTTAGACCCTTTCCAGTTTCCTTCTGTGGAGTGATTTGTTCCATGAAAGTTTCCAGGATCCCATTCAGTCTTTGCTAAGGATATTAGTCATAAATGTAGATACCAGAATAATGGAAAAAGAAAAGCTGAAAATGAATGGGAAGGGGTACTATAAATGGTCTGGGAAGATAAAAACAGCAGCTGTAATAACAGTTATTCAGCCACACTTGTGTGATGGAAACAATAAGAGGTACTGCTTTGATTTGCACATTGCTAAAACTTTCCTTCTGAAAACATTGCAGTAAAAGTTCTGAACCAAACAGTGCAATTTATGTGTTGTATCTTTCACTGAGCACTTCCCTTAAAAGTTAGAAACACCTTTCAACAAGTTGTTGCAAAATAAAGAAAAAAAAATGTTCCTTTCATCACCTATACTGGTTACTTTGAATTGCATTTGTAAACCAAAACACTGTGCAAAAGAATTTTCACCCAGCACAAGCTCTCACTTTCATTTTACTCTTTCTTCATTCTCTTTGGCTCTCTGCAGTGTAACTACCATACTGTCTCCTTCTTCCATCCTGAGGATTTGGGGAATAGAATCAAACTATGGAGCCAGCTTTTCTTTTCAAAATACTGTCCTGCCAGATAAACTTGCACAGAGACCTCCTTATCTGTCTTTGCCTTCTCAATTCAATCACTGAATTAAAGTTTTGGACCACTTTGCAAGCTCCTATTATGTAACCAGGGAGAGAGAGATTCTCAGAACTCTGCCTGCCGCTTTTTACTTCAGTATTCTAAAAGCAATACTTACAGTTTTGTCAAGTTGTATAAGCCTTTGAAAGCACGTTCAGATATGGCTCTGATTTTATTATTCTGAAGATACCTAAGAAGATACAAACCCAAAACAATTTATTCTCTAAACAAGTGAAGTTAAAGCAAACATAAGTAACCAATTAAAATCTATCAGCTAAACTGAATGCACATTTGATCATTTAAAAGAAGCTGTTATATTTGTTACACCTTGAATTCGACAATAACCATTTCACAGCTATAGCTGGAAAGATTGCAAGGTTGTTTTTAAAGAAATTCATGCAAAGAGCAAAATCATAAAAATAATTCCAATGGAGCCTTGCTTTGCCAAAGATGAACAGTGGAGTGATGGTTTAAAATCTACTTGATTAGGTCCTAACCTTTCAGGGCTCACCTCTGTGATCTCTGAATTTATCAAGATCTCTGCTGAAACCAAAATTTTGTACAGTAAATGTAAAAAAAAAAAATTGATTTTTTTTGTGGTATTAGAGAATTATCAAAACATTGCATTAGTAAGATAATATATTTAAAAATATCCAGCAAAACTTATTGATCTCCTGTAAACTAAAGATACTATTAAAAAAATTCTGTATTTCTTTATTTACTTTGATGAAATAATGAATTGAAAAATATCAACTGCAAATGCCAATTTTTTTCAAATAATTTAAAGGCATTATAACATTATTCTCTGAATAATATTTAAACATAGTTACTTTAAATCAAATTCCACCTAATGAGGCATGTAGATGCATTCCTGCTGGAAAGCAGTAAGAAATTGGACATTGGTTTTACAAAATGTGTTTCTGCCAAACACTGCTCAAGATCTATTGAAAAATGTAAAATTATCAATCAGAAGGGTGTGAAATTGATATTAGAATCAAAATTTTTATGCATATATAGATAGGTATGGATTTATTTATTTTAGTGAAAACTTACCTTTCAGGAATTTAAGGGACATATTGGGATTTAACTTTCAGAACACAAGATGGTGCTGCAGTGTAGCACAGTTCCCATGAAAGAACACTTGGAATAGGTTACATAGAAGTCCTACTCCAGACTTCTGCATTTAATTTTTATTTCACTACTTCTATATAAAGAAAACTTGTTTAAGGCTAATGAGTTTTGAACGGTACGTATGTTACACACTGGAAAACATAACACAGTATTATATTGCCTTAATAATTTGACTTTGGGCATTATCAAATCAATACCAGACATAACTAGGAGTGAAACCATGTGCCATGGGAATGAACGTTTCATGATAATGGGAAATTTGAGTTTCCAAACTTTTTTGCCAGAATAAATCAATCAACTTACTTTAATTCGATTTGGCATATTTATTATAAATGTAGCATCCTTCCAACAAAATTAAAGTTTAGTGTTTTTCTGGTATAAACCAGTCCATAAACATAAGCCATTGAAAATGCAGAAATTATGGCCTTGCAAAAAGACAGATGTCAAATCAAGGTACTTGAGCAAAACAGGGCACACATGAGGTACCAAAGGGTGAGACAAACCAGACTTTTGGTACTTTAATGTTAAGGTGTACATATGGAAGAAGAAAAGGATGAATGTTTAAGACACTAGATAGGTATTTTATGTTATATCACTCCCTTACAGATTTTTGAGATCCTGGTATTTCTTGAAAACATCAGCAGAAAGTTTCCTCAGCAGATTCCTCTGAAGAGACCTGTAGGAGTGAATGCATACAGTAAAACTATTGTCCCAGGTTCCTACAGCACTTTTTGTTATTTAATAAGGGCAGCTCTCACTCTGCCAAACAACAAAAGCAACATGAAACCTTCTGAACATGCTACTTCTGTTTTTCTGTATGCTTGTATCTATTTAAAACAGTAAGAAAAATATATAATAATAATAATAATAAAATCCATGTCCCCAGGAAAATCTGGCAAAATAATAGTTAAATCTAAGAATGAAAAAGATTTGAATATAAACAACAGATTTATTTCAAACCTCAAGTGCATACAGAGTGTATTTCCCAGTGAATGAAAAAGATTTGAATATAAACAACAGATTTATTTCAAACCTCAAGTGCATACAGAGTGTATTTCCCAGTTCATATATCCCTATGTCCCATCTCCACTGGAGACACTCAAGAGTCCTGTCAAGAACAAAATTCCTATAGGATGTGGTTTGATTAGAAGAGAATTTAGCCTGAAAGCCAGCTGAATTCTGCTGTTTCTACAGCTAGAATTGGGTCAGTATTTTTGAACTCTTTTCCCACCCTGAGCCAGAAGCCAGTTTAAATAGATGCTTGACATTCCGCATCAGTTTTTGTTATGAATGGTTGCAGTGTTTGAAGGTGGACCCAACCAGGAGAACCTGAACACAGGCTGGTACCAAAAGGAAAGATCCATGACCTGGATCTGTGGGGGAGCTCCTCAGGTAAGGACATGGGATGCTGCTCCCTGCTCACCACACCTAAAACTGCTTCTCAAACATCAATGTGCAAATCGAGAGCACATCAGCCATATTCTGGTCTCTTAAAAAACAGTTTGGCTTACAAATACATATCTGCATGATGAGTCAGACCAATTAAATCCTTTTAAATAACAGCATATTCAGAAACATCAAATGAGATCTAAATAGATTTGCTCCAGCAGGGAGTTCCACCAAGTTCAAGGTTATTGACTTTATTGACAGGAACACAGACTAGGAATATTGGCATGATCATAGCAAAAGAAACAGGTTCTAAGCATTTTGTCTTAAAAGGAAGCATTTCTTTTGTAGATTTTCCTTTATTCTGAAATTGTTTGTAGCTGAAGTCACTGTTGCAAACATGAAATGATCAGTTCACAGAGTTTTTTGGTTCCTTAGTTTCTTTTCTCCCCTTTTGTTTAAAGAAAATCTGTACTTAAAATATTAAGGTACTTGTCAACAGAGAGGCACAGTGCTTCCCAAGCATCAGCTGATGATAATTATGAGGCTGTAGTTGTAAAAAGTTGTAGGATTGACAGTCAAACCTGAACAGAGCAAGAGACCAGGTGACTTCTCTACTTACAATATGGTTATGTTTGCAGGGACGGATGGGACAGTACGTAGTTTGGCAGCATCACAGAAAACCTCCAGGCCCTGGCAGGTGCACTCTGCTGGCACATCTCCAGCCACTGCAGGAGAGCAAGAACATGGTCAGGGCAAAGGGTGGCATGTGAGATGTGATGGCATGTGGAGAAAAGAAATAGGGTATAAAAGAACAACAAACACAAAGACAGACATAGCAGGCTCTTTTAAACACAATGAAGGCAAATGTTTTTACAAAATTGATTTAGACTTTGGAGGAATCTAACAATAAATATAAAGGGACACAAAAATTATATTACTGCTGTGAAAGAGCTTGTAAAAGCTCTTGAACCTTAGGCATGATATGCAAGAATCTGGAATATGATTTTTTCAAAACACTTCTTTAGATTATTCAGCAATCTTATTGCTAGAAGGAACACAATTTCCATGGGTGAAAATAGGCCAAAAATGGGTCAGGAAGTCTTTGCTCATCATAGTAGACAGCAGAATCAAAAAGTCTGTGCAAAGACCTGTGTAAATAGTGGAGGTTTGCAAATTTCATTTGATGTACAAAGAAATGAACTGGGAGCAATGTTGCCTTCATTTCACTCTGAAATACATGCCAGTTCTATGGTCTCTCCAGCAGTATCAGCATATTTAGATAAACATTTATATTGTCCTCCTAATTGGCATATGCTAATTAAAATTTGTTTGACACTTTTCTTGCAGAAAATGAATCATCCTTAATGAAACTGAAATTAGCTTCAAATTAGCATTTGTTCATTTGAGATATTATGCTGTTTAACTAAAAATGAAACAGCACTAAATTTCCTGCTAAGAATATATTTGCTCTGTATTTCTTTCTAGGAATCAGCAGTAATAAAATAATATCTGTAATTTACTTACAGCACTCAGGTGTCTTTGTCTGAAATGCATACAGAGACTTCAGTTTATTGTATTTGTCCTTTGTATAATGTTTATCAAATTGCAGAGACCATCCATTGTTGTCCTCTAATAAAAAAACAAACAAAGAAACACAACATAAACAAACCACAAGCAAAAGATATCAAAATATAAATGGAAGGTAGAAATGTCGTCATTTAATGTAATTGCATCAATTTTTTTCTAATTAATACAGGTCTTAATTCCAGAGAGTTTCACACACCATTAGGTAACTTTATACAGCTGCTTAATCTTACATGTCAAATGATATGAGCTGCATAGAAGTAACAGCTGATTATACCTTCAATAACATTTGCTGTGACAGTCACACTGAAAAAACATAGTTGCGACTTCAGAAATGTTTATTTATGTAGGAGCCTAAAAATGAGAGGGAACAATATTTTCATACTTCCTTAAACATGCAGGTTTGCCACTTTGTCCAGGAAAGATGAAATGATTACTATGACTCTGACTAGTCTGTACAGAAGGGTTTCTGCACAATCACAGCCTATAATTTCTTTCCTGAAAATCTAGAAGAAGGCCAAAGGAGCACTGCTTTTCAGGAGAAGAAGGGACTTGGTGTAACGCATTCAAGTCAGAATGTTCATGTTAAGCTTAATATGCATCTTAAACAAAGCATGATTCCATATTACCCCTTTGGTCACTGTGCATAGGTGTACTGGAACTGAGTAGTTTATGGCTGTAAGAGAAAAATTTAAGAGCAAACCTTTTAGTTCCTTCCAAAGAATGGACATTTCAAGATATAGTGGTGCTAGAAATAGCTACAGATCTGTTAGTTACCTGTTTCTTGCAAATCTATTGTGTATCTGAGACTTGTAAATTGACTGATCAGGTAGCTACTTTCCAAACAGGCTGGAAAGGGAACTTGCCTTTAAAAGCTGTGACTGGATTTTAGTTTTCTTACTTTGAGTCTGACTTTAGGTTTCTTAATTTGAGTCTGTCTTCTCCTCAGCTTTTAAAGCATCTCCTTTAATGAACACACAGCAGTAGCAGAAATGCTCCTTGGGATGGCATTCAGTTGCTGGTGAGCCAAACCATCCATGACAATTGAAAGCAGCACACTCTAAGGATATCTACTGCAAAACAACATTTCTCTGAGAACACTTAGGATGGCTCTGCTTTGCTAGTAATTAGAGTCCTAGATTCACCTTTATGATGTATTGGCAATAGTCTTTACCCCTCAATTTCACAGGTTTAGTTACACTTAAATACAATTCCTCATGGACATTTCTCTATAAGTCTTTATATTTAACTAAGCATTATAATAATATATAGGCTTCAAAATAGGCAGGGAGAAATAAAAAATATTTACTTTGCAAATTTTCCCACTCTGAAATGGCTTCTCATTTTTCATGCCACATTACAACTCAGTTGTTGTTTTCTCAGACAGGCAAGGAAACAACCTTGAAAGCATCTCCTGACACCTGCCTACAGATGAAGCTGGTTTTGAGATGCTTACCTCTTTGCTGTCTAGGCTGAAAAGGTGTGCTATAGGTACTGATTAATGATAATATGAAATATTTAGTAACTTCAGGCAAAATAGCTTTCATCTAGTTATTTGTTTGTCATGCATAAATTAAAAAGATGAAAGATTCAAAGCAAACATAAGTGCCTGTCCTCAGGAATTGCTCCAGTGAGAGAAAAGACAGACCTGATAAGACATTTAAGAACATTTTACTAACTTCCTCAAGAGCACCTTGCATCCATTAGCAGTTTTGCCATTCTAGATCATTAAGCTAATATTCAGAAGCAGCCTAATGCATTTTGGACAAAATGAAAGGTATTGGCCAGCCTGCTCCTGCCTACTTTAAATGTTCAAAAGAAGATCAGTTTTAGGACTGCCTGAAGCATGGAATCTGTAATTGATGAAGTGATGAGAATAGATCCTCTGTCAAGTGGCAAGTGCATTAAAACCTACTGCCCTGTAGATGGGACCATAATGAGGTTTTCTCTACCACCGTTCCTGAATATTTAACTGAAGCACATCCATTGACTTTCATTTGTATGACTGGACTCAGCAGTATGTGGGAATTCAACTTACTCAGAGAAAGTAGGATTTTAAAATAGAAACTTGGGAAAAAGGTTTAAAAATGAGATTATTCCTAAAGTATAAATTATACGAAATGAATGCTTTGCAATCAGGGATATAGTATGAAAGTACTCTTGGACTTTCTAATTCATTATTATGTACATAGAAAGTGGATATATGAGATTTTATTCCACATTTTTGTACTTTTAAAATGCCTTGTCATGTGACAAGAGGTGACCATCACTGCATTTCACATCTGCAGAGAAAAAGGACAAGAAGTGCCTCCACACTAACAGGAATGATGGAACAGTTTTCTACAAAAGGGAAGTTCCTCAGCATTTTTGAGGAAGTCTAGAGGCAGCTGTGTATTTTTGGGTGGCCATAAAAAAGAAGGGGAAAGACTCACAGAGAAGATGGATAATTTTGTACTAGAATCATTCCAGCTGTTTGGTGTTTCTAGTGAGTTCATTTTAAATAACGGGCTTTTCTTATGGCATGCTTTCTACTAGAAATAAAAATACATATCTGAATATAATAAAACAAGTTACTAAACATCCCTTGACCTCCAGAAATATATGCTTTGAGCCAACGTTTGTGTCCAGACATGGGACAGTCTCTATTTTATTCATGTTGTTTTGTCAAATCCTGAAAGAATGTATTGTGCAAATAACTATGTTTAGTACGACCATTTGGTGAAACACTCAGTGGCAGAACTGTAAATTAGTTTTTGGTCGTTTAGAGTTTAGATGAAGGTTTGTGGCCTGTTTTTACCTCTTTCGAGGTGAGATTCTCCAAACACTTGAAGAAATGACTGGTAATAGTACTGGTCTTGAAATCCCAAATTTATCATTTGAGGCAGCACAGCTCAGATGAGAAATTACTTTTACCCTGAGCCAGTTCTAAAATAGATTATGTTGGCTGTGGTTCTGTTAAAAAAAAGAGATCTGAGAAAATAAAGCATCATCAAATCATCCTCTACATGGGATAAGTGAAATAAGAGGTGGCAAACTGGACTTATCTGACTGGAGATTAATATGCTCTTTCTTACTGAAAGCTTCCAATTACCACTTCTGATGGGAATGAGAAAGAGCATGTTAATCCTGACAAACTACAGATTTGAGTAATCATTTCAGTGTCAGATCCAAGAAAGTATCATCTTTTCTCAATTAAAAACATATCTCTTAGTCTGGAGTTTATGATGAGGATGCTATCTGTATGACTTCCCCCTTCTCTCAGCCATGTCTTCATGGGTATTATACAGAGAAATGCTATCAGCTAAATGCATAAACACTCTAAAGAGACACTGTGTCACCCTTTGAGTTTGCTGTTGGTGGTCATAACCTTTGGACATATTTCTTTTGGTCAGTTGTTCAAATAAACATTTTCTCGCTGCAAAGAATTATTTCAGGCTTTTCACAAAAGTATCTTTTGGTACAAGGAAGACCCATGTCCTTCAGACAAGAAGCATTTCCTTTAAAAATATTTACCAATTAAGGAATATAATTGCCCTTTCCCACAGTGTTGAGGCATCCTGATGCAGCCTCATAACTTACAGCAAAACCAAAACCACAGAGATTTCATAAAATCAAGAGCTCTGGTGCCTGAAGGGAGGGCAAAGCTGGGATGGAATTTCACTGTCTCAGTTTAAGTATCCAAGCAGAAAAAATTAAGAGCTTAGAGCTGGACACCTTATCAGTGAATTCAAAGGTAAATTACCCCAGAGCAATCTGCATGTCACTGCACATATACTGTGTCCTCTACTAGCTGATTAATTGAAATCACATGTGGCTTGTCTGCTTATATGTGACAATGCAATCGTAGTAAACGAGACAGGAAACAAATTAATTTGCATAAGGTTTACAGTTCTCTGGATGAGATTAAGATTACATACTTATTAAGATTACATACTTAATAATAAAAAGTTTTTTTATGATTTTAGGGCAATTTAATTAAGCTAGTGCAACTTTTAAGAAAACAGGCAAGTCAAAATTTCCAGAAGATTAACATCTTCTCAATGTTGAATCTTTATTCCTGTGAAACATGCGCATAGTTTTCTAGTTTTTTAACAATACTTTTAATCTATATAAATTTTTATGATTTTATATTCCATTTTTCTTGAAGTATATTACATTTTTGAAATTAAAATAATCGAACAGCATGAATACATCTATAGAACCTTCAGTTGCTTAAAAGTTCCTTTGACAGTAAGCCACTACAGTGGAGACCAGGAGAGACATAAGTCTAATGAGATGTAAATTCCTCTTAATTACCAACAATATTTGAAAATCACAGTAGCAAAACTGATTCAAAACCCTCAAAATTTCAGCAAAGCTATTCCATGTGCTGATACTTGCACATCAGAGTAAACCTTATTGTTTTGGTGCCGTACTGTGCCATACTGTGGATGGATGGCAATGATAATAAAATTTGGCCATTACAAAAAATTTCCATGTGAAGCTTGAAAATTCCATGTTTTCCCAGGTTTTTGATACATTTTGAGTACACTATTGACTGTCAAATATTTACTTTATGCTTCACAAACAGAATTTGCTATCTAGGCTCAAAACTGAATAACACCTCATGCATTCAAATCCTGTATTTTAAGTATGATGGGGAAAATGCCATGCCAGGAAAACACAAGAACAACTATAACATTATTCATTACTAGTATTAATTTGAGATATAAAAACATCAAGGTCTTCTGCCATGTGCTGAGATGAAAATGAAATTTCTCATCCCTTATGGGCAATCTTGTAATATTAAAACATATATCTTTTGTATAGATGTTTTGAAATACCCCATAGAAATTTAGATTTCTGCTATGGAAATCTAGAAGATGATTAATTGAACCTACAGAACTGCAATAATTCTGTGTACAATTACAGACCTTCAAAGAAGCACGTACAAATCAGCATTACACTATACAGGTTGTTAGTATGTTTATTCTGTTGAATTTTCATAGGTCCCTTTTAAAAAAAGATCTGCTCTGTAGTAACTTATTTCTTCAGGCAACCTGGTG